GCGGTCTTGGTACAGCAGGACACCCTCTTGTGCGTATGTAGATTCGCAGATGGGCCAGAGGCTGGCGAGTATAGGGTCGTTTCTGTCAAAACTCTGTGTGCCCTGCTCTATCAGCTTAAGTAGATGGCTCAGGGATGTGTCCGCCGCGGTTTCTTGTGCGAGAAGAGGCCATGAGATTGTACCAAGCTCTTGAGCATCGTGTCGGATGGAGGCCATTAGCGCCGATTCGACAAAGTCTGGGTAACTGGACAATCCGAGCGAGGCAGTGTTCACTGAGCCTGATGGGGAGGGGTGTCTTGATGTTGCGTCAGCAGCGAGGTTCGTCTTGCCAGGTAAGTGCTTGATGTCGAAACGCCACTGGAGGGTGCGCTGCTTGAGCCAGAACAATCGCGAGTTGGATATCTCGTCCAGCGTGCGGTCACCAAAGATCTTCACAAGTGGTTTGTGGTCCGTGATTACGACAAGGTTGTCGCACCCTTGTGTAAAGTAGCGTGTCTGTTCAAGACCCCATGCCACAGCAAGTGCTTCCCCTTCAATCGCGGCGTAGCGTTCCTCGGCTGAAGAGAGGAATCGTGAGCCGGCCAAGGTGATGTGCCATCCACCAGGGCAGCATTCTGGTATACCAGAAGGGCAGCTGCAGTGCTGCTGGAGCAAGAAGTAACCAATACCTCGTAGTCTTGACCAGTCTGGGCGGAGACAGGTTCGCTTATGTATATCAAAGATCTCCACCCCCTTGCGGATGGCTTCCACGATGGCTTCTTTCGATGTTGTAAAAGCCTCTTCCAACTCGGGTGACCAGTGGAATTTGCAGCGAGGACTGAGGAAAGGTTTAAAGGGGGCCATTATGTCGCGTAGCTGTGCGTAGTTGGTGACCTGATTGACAAGGCCGAACCAGCTCCGGATATCTGTGGTGGAGGTGGGGGAGGGGAAGTCTCTGATAGCATCAAGGTATTTCGGGAGTGGTTCGATGGTTGAGGATGACACTCTGAAACCGGCAAAGTCTACGCTCCGTTGTGCAAATTGGAACTTATCGGGGTTTAGCACTATGCCGGCTTGTCCAACACGTGTTAGCAAGTCAATGGTCCTCCACCAATGTTGCTCCAAATCAGTGTCGTAGTGAATTGTGTCGTCGACGCAGCGTTCCTTACGCACAAAGGCCGACAGGACGGCATCAAAACGGCGATTGTATCCATCCCCTGATAATAGGAAACCCTGGGGTGCTCTCAGGTAGCGCCAACGGCCAAATGGCGTGATGAAGGTGGTAAGATGATTCTCGAAGGGGGACGCTGTGGTAGCCATTCCAGGCATCCGTGACTGTTTTCCACGTCTCTTTGGGGATGCGACGTGCGAGGTGGGAGGGTGACTCCATGGCAAACGTTTCTCGCTTGCAAAACTTATTTAGTGGCGAGAGATCGACTGTGCGACGTGGAGAACCATCGTGCTTCCGTGTTACAACCATCCGATGGCACCATTTCACGGGTTCGCCATAAGGCACACGCTCAATGACACCAAGGGCTTCGTCTCGAAGGAGGTCGTCATGCACTTGCTGCTGCCAGTGTAAGGGTATGTTGGCTGGTGTATGGCAAGCCTTTGGAGTGGCGGTCGCGTCGACGTGCATCTCGATAGATGGCCCCTCCATGCATGGTAATGCCCGATGTGGGCACGTGTTGAATGTGGACGAGGAGTATCGAGCAAGTAGCCATGCCTTCATGCGATCATTATTTTCTGGTGTACAGGGGAATGGCAGGACCGGCGGACTTGGTGGAGCAACTTCACGCTGGGGGCACGAGCATGGGTCATGTGGAGTGTTGGGCGCATTACAACCATTGTTGAGTGACCGTGCGGCATTGATAGATGCAGGGTCAGGTGAAGCATCAGAGTCGGCGATTTGGGTCCTTTCGCTGGGTGTGCCTACATTATCCATGGATGGGAAATCATTTGCAAGAAGGCCGAGGTTAAGTAACGTCTCATAAGACAAATACATGGCTTGGACAGAGCTGCTGACATACACCATAGAGTGGCACGACATCACATTGCCGTTGTGGGGTGTCGATGTGATCTTTGCAAAGAATGCTCCTTCGATGGAGATAGGGGAGCGGTTTGCGGCTGACAGGCTAAGGCTAACAGGCCGTAGTTCATCACGTGAGAATCCACAGGCAAGGAAATCAGCAAGGGACCACAGGTCGGATTGTGCTCCGGTATCGGCAACTGCTGATACCACAGTGTCACGGCCCGAGGCATGGCTAGGGCTGGTGATTCTGGTGTCGGCTGACTTGGCAACAGAGATGGTGACTTTGACTCTAGGATGATCTAACAGGCGGGCTCGCTTCCATTCGCCTTTGGAGAATATATGGTGGTCAAGTCTTGTGGCTAAAGCTTTGTTGATGTTGCCATGTGGGGTTGAGGCACGTGTATGATGTCGTCGGTGTCTGTCTGTCTGGGCGGTTTGGAATACTGCCACCTGGGATATGGGGTCTTGCTCTATGGCCTGGAGGCTGGGCTTATTGTCATGGGGCAGGCGGGGTTGGCGTTTTTTCCTGCGGCGAGTTCTGTAGCAATTGATGCACAATTGGTGAGGTTTGGTGTTCCACCCACGGGCTCCCTCTGTAAATACTTTAAAGGTATGCTTGCAGTCTGGGCATGTTGCCTCCTTCGTTTGATCCACTTGGGACGGGGTGGTGGCGGTGGTTGTCGTCGGGTTCTTTTGGCGCTGAAACGACGACACAGCAGACAGGGTTGATGATGGGAGGGCATTGCGGGCCATCTCCTTGTTTTCAACAAGGGCAATCACATCATTGACTGGTTTTTTGAGGATGTCGGGCGTCCCCAGGATTTCACGGCGGATGTCTGGGTCAGATAGGCCATTTAAAAGAACGTCACGGATGACATTATCTGTGTAGTCGACGTCCTTACCACACTCACATTCTGCTGTGAAGGCACACGTCTCGGCTTTCCCTCGCACCCTGGCTGTAAATGTACGAAAAGCCTCATCCTTTCTTGACGTAGTTGAAGAAGTTCAGTCCGTGATACACAGGTAGCAACAGGAATGACTGCCAAGGACCGCATGGCAGTAAGCAGTTCGTTGAGGGTCCCGGAGGCTGCATTGGGGTTCGCTTTTAGGAGGCTATCACCTAGGTCGGTCCCGGCACACTGAAATAATTGGTATGGGGCTGATGTATCATTGATCCCAGATCCGGTTCGAAAAACCTCCCATCGCCGGACGAACACATTCCAGTCTTCAATGGACACACCGACATCTATTTTGGGTCGCTCAAGTTTCGGGCCTTGAAATGTGGGTGCTGGTTGTGTTGACACGGCAGGCACTGTGTTTTGATGGGCCAGACCATGGTTTGATAGAAGAGCTATGGCGAGTGCCTCTGAGACATCATTAGTTTTGAAATCGCATTGTGGGACAGAGCATTCTACAACAACCATGACTCTTTCATGAAGAAACAACCTTCTCGAATTTTGTATGTTTATTTTAACAAAGACGATGAAAGAGTCCTAGGTAAATACAATGAATAGAAATTATAACTGTGAACGTTCTATACATAAATATAGCCACATAAACGAATAGGATAAATACAAAGTAAGGAATACTTACAATAATATAGAAATACGACTTGAAACTAGCGTATTACAAACAAACAATATCTGATGAACTAATATGAAAGACTTAAAATATAAAACCAATGTAAACAAGAGAGCGAGTCAGCGGTTACACTAACTAGTCCTACATAAGTACTTCATGTAAACTCTTCAACACTGATATATATTGGAAACTGTAAGGAGCCTCCTTAAGGAATATTACATTGACCACAACGTTGGCAATTATATTCACTTTGACTTTTAGGCAGCGAGCAAGAATGTTCTTATTACGGTCTTACTCTGACATTTTTGGGGGGCAGGGGCATCGGGTGGGGGGGGGCTTATCCATCCCCCTTATTCCACCACCCCTGGAAAGACGTTTTAAGAACTTACCAGAGTGTAAGGCCGTGAATAGACCGCATGACTGGCATCAGGTTGGTTTTCACATTGGACGGTACTCTGACCAATGAGACTTTTCTTGCAGTGATAGATACCACTTCCTCTGCATCTTGTGAAATGAGAATTATTGCGGAGCGCGAAAAATATTGGGAAACAAAAGACAATTTTAATTTTAGTATATTATGTAATTAACAACGTAGAATACTATACCCTGGCCCAGATGATTTTTTAGGTTTGGCGAACGCGAAATGCGAGAAAACGCGCGAAGAAAAAGGAAAAACCTCTGGTGAATTTGTTAGCGATTCCTGGTTCTGATAAAGAATGCAAAAATATATATTTATATTCATTCTCTTTATTAATCTTGCAATATACATTCAATTTAATCCTGCAATATACATTCAAAAAATCTGTATTTTATAAATTTATTAAACACACCTCTTTGGGCCGACGTGAACTTTGTCTGTTAATACAAAAGCAAGCAAATTTGTCTTGTAGATTTCAAATGAAACCATTCCTCTCCATTTCGCATTTCGAATAATAGACTCGGGATTACAAAATGCGAATGTAAACTCTCCATCTAGTATTGCTTTCTCGTCCTCTTCGTTTGACAGTGAAGTATTAGAAGTAACACGGCATCCACGCTTTCTTAGTTCACGGACGTGAGAGTCAATGAAAGAGTTCAATTTGCAAATGACTATTAAGATGGGTTTCTCCAGAAAATTGTGGCTTTTGCCAAGTCGTCGTGCTGCTCTCGGTGTTAGAACTTTGGAATATTAAACTCTTCCCATATTAAACCGATAGCAAGATGCAAATACATTTTTAATGTGAATCAAATTGGACAAGGCGCGGTATTGATGCTCCGTTAAACTTTTAATTCAGGAAATTTATCAATCTATCTATTAATGCAGCCTATAAAACTGCTTCTTTCAACTTTTGTTCGTTTATTTAATAATATAGACATTTCAAAATTCAAATGTTTCAATTCAATCAAAACACGAAACGCCTGCGAACAGGCTATGATGTTTACAATATCCAATCAGAACACGTAGTCTATCGAACCTATAGTCAGAAGCCAATCAACTCTTTGCTTCCATTTTTGAAAGTTATGTGTGGAATGTGAACCCAAAAACTACGCCAATTTCACCAGAGGGTTATTCAAAACCGGCGAAAATAAATACCCTCTGGTTCCAGGGTAAGAATACTATTGTTCTGGTTTGAATATTTTTTTAATTAATTTGCAGACTTCACAAACTTATAATGGTGGTTACTGCACAGCTCAAAAGTTAGGAACTTACAGGATAGCCATTCAATATTGTGATGGCAGTAATTGGTTAACTTTACAGCCACCGGGACCTAATGAAAAACCAAAAGGTGTTTCAGGTAAATAACGTAAATGAAATTACAAAAGTATAATAGTACTACACAGGTTATAGTTATTATATTTGTGTTGTTTTTGGAAACAGTAATATTAATGTTGTTGGTGATAACGCACATACATAGTACTAATAATGTTAATATGGGTTGTATAATATGGCAGAGTTAATGTTAATATAAAAATTGCAGTTATGGTTAATTTGCGGTGATGGAATTATTAGTGTACGTAGTGCAATTTCCTAGTTATGGTAAATAGTAATGTGTAAATTCTTGTGGTAACGGTAATGGTAGTGGTGCTGATGTTTTAAGGTGATAGATGATAGTGGTGTTGATAATATAGTTATGCATGGTAGTACTTCCAGTTAAACTGTCCACGCACCATGGACGTTTTTAACAGTTATTTTGACTTCCCCAGGCAGAAGTTGTCGTGACATCTTAAATAAAGGCCTGAGCCGTGGAGACGGAGATTATTTGATAAAACCAGATAGCAGCGGTAAAGCAATTAAAGTTAAATGTGACATGTCTTCCTTTGGTGGTGGGTGGACCATGTGCTACACAACAGATAGGCATGTTAATATCAAGACTGAGCTTGTCACCAAGCCGTCCACTGGCTATCGAGCAGATTGCAACAATATACCAGTAAGTATGCTGCTATTGCTGTACTTTTTTCTCAAGAATAATTTATTTGATTTATTTGGATAGTTATGAAAGCACTTCAAGGCAGTACTACGAATATATAGGTACTGAACATTATCATTATCAGAAATTAGCGACAAAATGGCCAGCGCTTGTATACTAATTTGCGTCACCTAAATACAGTGGTCTTCCATTTTAAACAGAGAATACATAGCGTGGAAACATTTAACTTGAAATTATGGCAATGTATAGGAGTTGTGATCAATAATTCAAGAAGTCATTTTCGAACGTTTCGTTGCCATATTTATTTAGATTAGGTAGATCTACACGGGCGGCCAAATAATAATTCATTGGTCACACTTTTGTCCATGCTAGTTGAGCCTAACTTAACAACAAAAACGTTTAAAAACAACCATTTCGAAGCTATATGCCCATATACATATTTTGAGTAGGGTAGTTCTTGAATTGGGCCGGGGTGTAAAACGGCAAGCAATATTGTCCTATAGTCTTTCACATTCGTGATACAGATTTCTCTCCAGGCTCTTAATTGTTTCAGTCATCGTACGGCAGTTTAACGAAAATGTCGATAATTTCACTATCTCAGGCTTTCTGGCATCCTTGTGTAGAAACGTAGGATAAAAGTAGGACTAAAATTTTAGAAATAAAGGAGGACAAAAGTATAGGAGTTTTTGGAGATGCAAATAACACAAAAATATACAAAATTGCCCCTCAAGAATATGTGGCAAGGGGTAAATCATTAGTATCTGATAGGAAAGTTGTTTGAATTTTTGGTGCTCAAAATGAATATTTTTTGTACTCATTCATCTATGCAGAATTTTTTCTCAAAATTTTTAAAATTAGATATTAATATAGTCAATGAATTTTGCATCGGTATAAAAGCTAAGGCATCTACTCTGCAGCAACACAATTCAAATGCGTTATGTGTGTGAGTGAACACCGCATAAAAACGTCTGCGCATGCGTCAACATTACTGAAATTTGTATTGCGAACGTGATGTCAAGTATTCCGAATGTTGTCAAAAACTCAAAATGGAAGCGACTTCGATGTTTTGCCGTTTCTATGAAAATGCAAGCGGAGAAATGAACGTGACAATCTAAAAACTAGAAATAATTATAGTCTACATGTGCAAGAAGTAGTATTATGCAAAAAAAATAAATCAAAGGTGACTGTTGATAAATTTATTGTATAAAACGTTCTTTAACTGAACCATACAAAGATATTTTTCGTAGGTTCATATGATCTACATTTTTGTCAACTTTTTTTGCGTAGCATGTATAATTTTTGCTTTGACTAATTAATTTAAAGGTAATTAGTTACTCTACAATTAAATCGTGTGCAAATGCTTAACTATTAGGTAGTTTTCTTAACTTTTGTGCTTAAGTTCGGTATTTGACAATTTTTCAAGCAATGTTCACACTCCTCTCGGTCTTAAGCGATATTTTTTTTATTTAAATTCTGTTTCTTTTTAGATTTTAAATGTTAGAAAACTTTTTATTAAAGTCTAAACTACCCGTCTAGTGTATTTTTTGTTTGTTTCAATTACCTTGAATAATTAAATAGCCATATTTTTGTTCATAATATCGTATTTAAATTCCTCGCCATCTTTTTTGTGCCCCACGCATGCGCAGACGTTTTTCCGCGGTGTTGTGCGAGTGCGAGATGTATTCTGGCAGCCGTTCCGCACGTTGTAACCAATAATTTATTGGCGTTGTAATGCCATTGTATGCAATAAAGTATTGGTTACAATGGATTTACAATTAATCCAAACGCTAATCCTAACTCAAACCCTTATCCTAACCCTAATCCTAACCCCTAACCCTAACCCCACCTCCTAACCCCTAACCCCTAACCCCACCTGCTAAACCCGCAACCTAACCGCAAGCCCTAACCCCGGCCGGCTGCCCCTCCGGGGAATTGCCCTACCGCCTCCCCTCCATGCGCCAAGCAAAGCCAATTACACTTATAACTAAAACCTTTGTGCAGTGGTTGTGGTTTTGTTTTCAGTTACAACCCAATACTTTATTGCATACAATGGCATTACAACGCCAATAAACTATTGGTTACAACGTGCGGAACGGGTGAT